TTGTACTTAAACATTAAATGTAAATATGAAGCCATGTTCTTGGTTGCTTTTTCAAGAAAAGACAGTGATCATTCTGAATTAGCACATAAGTCAGGCAAATATTTCCCTTCAATATTTAGGAGTTCTTTTTTGCTCAAATGGGTCATTTACAGGATAGATTTACAGGATCTTTGGTGGAAAAAATCCTGCCAGGAAAATCCAGTCTTACAAGTTGTGAGAATTCCAACAGCTGCATGACATGACACTTGACATATCAGACTCCCAGCACTGTAAAATCCAGAATGAGTAAGCAAACTGCAAAGTGGCACCACTCTTACACACACACACACACAAAAAAAGAAAAAAAAAAAAAAAACAAAAAACCAAAACCCACAAAACAACAAAAAAACCCCAGTCATTTTCCAGCCCAATAATTCTTTTATTCATACTAAGTTTTCATGTAGTTTTCCATCAACTTAGTGGAGTTACTCATGATTTACCAGCATAAAACTCTTTACTCATAAAAGAGCAACCAGATCCTTTCTGCCTAAAATATTCAGTAGGAATATTTGTATTCGTTAGAAAAATGCACCTTAGGAAATTTTCTTTCATAGTAAGTAGCATGCAGCAGTAGCATATGAGGAACACAGAATACTTAAAGGGCTATATCCTGATGAATACATAAGTCATTATTTTATCCTAGAGCTCATCACCAGCACAGTTTAATTGTTCAGAGCAAGGCTGCTCACCGTATCTCTTAGAGATGTTGCTAGAAAGCCAGCAGGTACAAGAACTTCCTTACACTTATTTGCTACAAACCCCATTTTCAACTCATTTCATCAGAAATACTCATGGGAGAACTTGGGAAGTGGAGTTCTGCAAATCTCCATTAATTGTTACCACCTAGAACGTATGAAAATTTCTTGCAATCACACTACTCAAGCAGACTGCAACTCTAGGGAGAAATTCATAACTTGTAAAGAAGAAAATGGAACATATAGGCAACAGCATAACAAAGAGAAAGGAAGTGCATAGGACCCACATGAAAGAGTCTACAATCACTGCATTTGTGATCATGTTGTATTTGCACTGGTATTGTAGCTGTGAGCTCATGGAAAAAGATGTAACAAGAGACTTGAAAGTGGACTTAACTTCAAATTGTATTCAAACTCTCCACCATGCTTCTGCAGCCCATGATCAAATCTGTGCTGCATTGTCCACACTGTAACCAAAGCACTAAGATCAAAGTTTGCAGGGATAGATTTAACATGCTAACATTACTCCTCCAAATGCAGTGCACACGAGCTCTGTGCCCTGTGGGGGTAAGCAGGAAGAATTTTCCATTCACCGGGACAGAGAATGCTCAAGGGAGTACCTCTGTACCCACTCAAAGCAAAGGCTGTTGGCAAGAAGCTACTCCTATAACTGCAGTAATACGATCAACTTTCAAATATCACGAACCTGATCCCACTCTTTACTATGGAATCACAACATACTTGGATTGGAAGAAACAAGTAAGAAAAAAAACAATCAAGGTGAACTATTTCAGCAATAAAAAGAAAGTGTCATACAGCCATTAATTCCCTTTCCAAAGAGACTCTGATCTGGCCCAGAACCATTTATTCTCTCCTTGCACAGACTTGCAACATCACTACTAGATGCCACTTTCTGCTGCCCTAAATAATTATTCCAAACAAAGCCAAAAGCCTCATTGACATGCTTAGCAGCTGCTTGGAAATTCTCAATATAATACTCTGTATGAGATAACTCACAAGTCTGTGGCAGGATGCTATCCTATAGCATACTTTCCCATAGCACAGCACAGTCTTCCAGGTCTGTCCCTCATTTCCCTCACAGTTATTTGCCTAGCTCATACAACATATTTTAAGGCATATTTTCATGTCCATGTCTACTCGTTAAAGCTAAAAAGCTCTCAGCATGACCAAAGAACACTCTAGTGTACAATGCAGTGACTGGCTGTCACCTCCATAGAGTACACACTACATCTCACTAACAAGAGATTATCAAGCTCAGACACTTATGAGCAGCAAGAGTTTCATACAAATTCACTGTTGAACTTTTGAGTTTTGGTAAATTCTACAGCCAGGGTTCAATGCCATACTATCACAAGTAGGTTGCTAGCAGTACTGCAGTTAGCTAGCTCAAGACTAACTGAACATTAGCTATGCAAGCAGCAGCCACAGCCATAATAAATACAGACAAGCTCATAGGAAGCTCACAGAGTCCGTAACAGAATTTAGGTTCCCTCAAGGTCTTGGGTCTTCCTCCTTGCTCATAATTGCCCTGTATTCCAAACCTTCCCAATAGCACTTCTCCTCAGCAGATTTATCAGCCCAAGCAATTTAACTATAAGCAAGGGTGTCCATGTTCCTTCCTCCAACACTACATTCTACTACTAATAGAATTCAACCTGTACAAAATCCTGTTGCTAAGGTTTGGTCTGGCACCAGATGGAGCAAGTACATAACAACACTTCACACTCCATTTCAATGGGGGGTATTCTTGAGTATTCAACTGAAGGTCTCAAATGACCTACAGGATACTTTGGAATATTCTAACTTGATCAGCTCATGTTATCAAATTCATTTCCATCTTCCTCTGTGCATGCATTCTTTTACTAGACACGTTTCTCCTCAGGTTTTCTACACAGGGTTACCAGCCATTGTGCCCATGTACATACCCATCTACAGCTGAAAAGATCCTGGTTTTTCTCATCAGTTTTGAGCTATTTGGTGGTGTAGCCACAACCTATTTTTATCTATTTAAACTTCTGTCATTAAACTGTAGGATTTTTTAATGACGAAGCTAAGGCATGACATACCAGTTCAGCTGACACAGGTCAATGCAAAATATTAGCAGAAAACTCTCTCAAGTCAGTATAATTAATCTAACTCTATAGCTAGAGATATGAATAGCAAAAGCCATCTTCAACAAGAAAACAAAAACTCTTAACTTACAAGCAAAATCTATCCCAAACTCCCCCAGGAAATCAATGATGATATATCAAGAAAATAATTTTTACTCAACTTTGACCCTTTTTTTACTTATTGACTGGACATGGTTAAATTAAATGCAAACTCATACAAACATACATAAGACACAACAAATATTTTTTAAAGGCTCACTGTAATCACCATGGTCTTGCTGCAGTTTCTGGTGCCTGAACTAGAATTCAGGCCAAAAATATCATGTACAGAAAAACATTGCAACGCTGTGATTTCATGACTAGTGTTACCTTATGGTTTAAGTAGCTCCCTTGGCTCTTACACACTGCTCTTAGTAATTAGAATTTCCAGACAGCTCAGCGGCAGATATTCTAGTTATTCTCCACATCGCAGCACTAACTGGCAGATGGCAGTCAATTCTTACCATGAATGAATTAGATTCATTGGTATAACACATGGCTGTAAACTTAATGATTTTGGGGTGTTTTTTTTAAAGCTTTCAAAGTTTTCATTCTGCCTTTTACAGCCACAAAGTAACAACAGCCAGCTATGTGATGTAAGTCTCTATTTTTATCACAGGCTAAGACCTACAGTAGAATATGCAGGTGCCCATGCTGCTGCTTCTGGATCACATGAATACACTTCTACTCTTTTCCTCTTGTGCTTGTCTTTTCAGCAATGAGGTTGTTTCAACACAGCAGAACACGATCTACTGAAGAATGAAGATGTGCATCATACAAAGAAAAGAGATTGCCTGCCGTATGTTCTGGATTTATTGGTCTAGTCGCCCGAAGTTGGAATTTTATCAGGATTCTAACATACATCAAAGACACGATATCCTTTTCCATTACCAGGAGGGTAATTCATATAGCCAGATGACAAGGACTGAACTCCATGTATGTCAACTTTGACAGCTTCCCTCCTTCTCATGACCTGAAGTCCATTAAGGACTGGAAGTAATTAGCACTCTAGAACAGAGCTCTAGGCCTTCAAGGGATTTTTCAGGTCGTTTGTGAAGCAGATACTCATTTTGGAGTTTCAAGTTACACTGTGGCATTACTGTACTGCTGCATTAGATAGCCTTCTTCCTTGCCCACTATTAAAAACTTACTATTATTAACTCTACTATTGCAATTATCTATGTATTTCAACTCCCTGCCTGTCTGTGCAACAGTTAGCTGGGCAAACAAGCAGCTGAATATATTTTAAACACAATTAACTGCTTTTTGCAGATGTACAAGGAGTTTCTGACTACCACTGGTTGCAAGCTCTAAGCTGCTCTTAACTTCAACAGCAATCTATACTGAACACATCTGATTTACAAACCACATTCAAATACATTTAAAAATAGGTACTACAGGACAAAATCAGACAATGAGGAGGGAAAAATGAGGGAAGGCAAAAGTTAGTAAACAAAATGGGAAATAGCTGCAGTCAAAGTTTAAGAACTTACCAGGCACTTTATTAAACTGCAATGCACTACTTCACATGCTGCTTTTAAATGATGTTAACACTGTATCACAGTTCCCGGCAGCATTAAGTCTTTCCAGAATATGTGTCACCACTGTATGCAGTGTATTTTATAGCTGATATAATTTCATTTGATTATATCCAATAATATTTTTCTGAAATTCTAGTTAAGTCTCCCCACAAAAGATAAGCAATGACTGTGCTTTAATCACCTGGCACAACGTCTAACAACCATCCTGCAGCGAAAAACAACTGTTATTGCACAAAAATATCCTCAGCTTCATTTTGCCTCTTCTGTGGAAGAGGTTGGAAATAAAACCTGTGAGAATCCCATTCAAGTGTATGTAGCACAAAACCTTTCAACTGTGAAGTTATTTAATTCCAAGACTGATCTCTAGAGTTTAACTGTTCTTGATAGAAGCTGAATACACTCAGAATCCTACACATCATACTTTTATCACAAGAAAAAATTGGAATTATGTTAATAAAGCCTGAAATATGTCATTTCTTTCCTATGTCCACAAGCACTCTGAAAAGATGAGCTGTACACCTCTAAATAAAACAAAGTAGTTTCCCTTTTCTTACCAGGCTTGGATTTCTGCTTTGTGATCTGTCCGTGATGGGGAAACATTGCCGTGGAGCACAGTACAACTGTTCTTTCCTCTAAATCAGACTCTGGGATCGTAGCACAACCACCTAGTTGAAAATGGAAGAACCTTAATGTGGTGTTTATGTAACAAAACAACTCCACTGGTGCATAATTAAGGAAAAGAGGTGATAAATTAGCTGACAGGAACACATAAAACTGAAACAGTCTTTATCCTCACTTCACAGAAACATTTGTTGAAGAGAACTATTACCATTGTTTAGAAGGCTGATTATGCCTTAATGACTACTTCTTATCCTGCTTTCAAAAAAGAATGAATGTATTAAGACCACAGAACATGTGAAACTGGTTCCACATAAAACATGGAAATAATATGATTTGTGTTAAAGATCAGATTACTGGGAGCTAGTTTAGTAATAAAATTAAGTAAGTGTGAATGAAGTAACTGTACAAAGTCAACAAACCTCATGAAGATGGCTAGCTTGCCACAGAGAGTGACATGAGGACATTTTCCGGATGGGCTATGGCTATTAAATACAGTATTTTTATTACTCAGTGTTAGAGATATGGAAATAAAAGGCCACTTTCACAGTCCAGTAACACACTTGAGTAAGGCAACACCTTACTCAAGTGATTTAAGGATACATGGCATAACAGATTCTTTGTATTTGCAATATTCCTTTCTGATCAGATCATTAGAGAACACAGCACCTTACAGCTTTCAAACATGTTTAAATGCCTGTGTTTAAAATATGAAGAAAGGAATAATCTAGTAGTAGTATCACCTGAAGACAAGCTGCAGCAGCTCGCAGTAGAATAGGTTGAGCTAAATCTACCTTCAAATGGTTGGCTATGATCAGGATTTTGGAGGATGTGCCACTATCCCACAACAGAAACGTGACCTTACAGTAAGTGTATTCCCAACAATATAGCACACAATTCAGCTGCATCTCTCTTCCACAGCCCTCCCAGGATCACAACTAGCAAGCAAACAAATCCATGTACTTATCTATTATGTTCTGAAAACACATGTTTATAAACAGCACATCAACTTCCAGTGGAGCACAAAGGCTCTTCACCTTTATGCCAGAGCTGTTCTACTCCAGGCCCCATAACCAGTATATACAGTCTGCAGCAATACAGGCCACTCTCTCCTTTCAAGCTAAACAAGTGAAACAGTTGAAAATAAGGTTGCATTCCAATGCAGGAGAGCTACAGTTTCCCCAACAGTTCCAGGAGCACTGGCAAATCAATGTGCCTTGTGCTGCAGCAATGTACAATGCTGTCTAGCTAGGGTAAAGCATGGCAGGTCCAGTGAATCCTGTGAAAACATTCATTCCTGGAAATAGACAATGCCAGGGCATCTAATCTAGCTCATGCTTGCCTCAAAAAGTTGGACCAGATGATCCTTGAGGTCCCTTCCAACCTGGTATTCTATCGTTCTATGACTCCTACCAGATGGAGAACTGATACAGTGTCTTTTGTTCCTAGCAAAGAGGAAAGACATAAGCTACTATATTCCAGATACACCCTGACATAAAGGGTAAGATGCATCATGGGGTTTATGTCTGATTTAGAGCAAGCAATTTTCTTCAGCTAGAAAGGAAGGTTAGGAGTGAACGTGTCAGCAATGTGCACTTATGACCCATGACAGCTTCAGATATTTAGGATACTTGCTATGGGACTGAAGGAGGAAATGGGAAATTAGAAAAAGTCTTCATGTTAAAATACTGTAACACTGGGGCAATGTCTGACATGGCATTAAAGATAAATGTACCTACACCCTAAATGAAAATAAATATCAGTAAGCTAATACGCCTGTTCCCAGTTGCAAATTGTGACTAAAATGTAAACTATGAGATCTGATGAAATGGAAACCACTGCTTTAAAGGTCACGTTAGATATTTTTCATTCGCATTCTTCAAATAAAATCTACTCTATTGAACAGTAATCTGTAAATACAGGATACAAAATTAAGGTTTCCTGCACAAAATGACTACTAAGAATAGCATAAGATATTTTAAAAGGTTTTAGAATATTTTCTAACAGCATGAGCAAAAACTCACCAATTATCACCTACTGAACTTCCATATGGAAATCAAAGACCTTCTGCAATGTTCATTTTAAAAACCTGAAATTCAGTAACACATAGCCTTGAGAATTGATAGGTTTTGATGCCAAAATATGTCATTAGTCATCAACGCTGAGAGTAACTGAGTAAGAATCGGAAAAGGTCTATTTGCCCTTAGGTACAACAGGCTACTTGCTGAAAGGAAGCAAGACTTCCTGCTCTTGATTTTGATGCAAGAGATTTGTTCAGATTTACTTGTCACCTGACACTATCAGAAGTTAGTAAAATAAAAAGTAAAATTCACTTTTTCCATAACTTTATTTTCTTGACAGAGAGTAGCGAGGACTGAAATGTTACCAGTGAGAGACTATCTTATACCAAATGAAAACAAAGACGGAATACATACAGCAGTAGTATCAGCATCAATATTAAGAGTAGCAATTATTTATTCTGCAAAGACACTAATACTTGCTCTCTATAAACTGTTTAAATACTATAGTTTTATAAAGGCATTCCATGGGCTGAGAGCACTGTTTTCAGTGGGGCACGACTTCACCAGAACTCTTGTGCCAATAATTATTTAAATTAATCACCAGACAAGAAAGGAATACAGTAGCGATATTTTTACTCTTCTGAGACAATGAAGCTTACACTGTCAATGTCTTTGTTCCCCTGCATTTCTATCTTACTCTTGTAATATTTGTATTACAGGCTGAGAGTTGGGCTTCTTTAGTCTGGAGAAGAGGAGGCTCCAGGGAGACTTTAGAGCAGCTCCAGTGCCTAAAGGGAACCTACAAGAAACCTTGAGAGGGGCTTTGGACAAGGGCCTGTAGGGACAGGACGAGGGGAATGGCTTTAACCTGACAGAGGGGAGACTGAGACTGGATACTAGGAAGAAATTCTTCCCTGTGAGGGTGGTGATGTGCTGAGACAGGGTGCCCAGAGAAGCTGTGGCTGTCCCATTCCTGGCAGCGTTCAAAGCCAGGTTGGACACAGGGGCTTGAAGCAACCTGAGCTAGTGAAAGGTGTCCCTGCCCATGGCAGGGGGGTGGATCTGGATGAGCTTTAAGGTCCCTTCCAACCCAAACCTGTCTGTAATTCTGTGACAGTTTCTTGCTCCAATAAGCACAGGTATCCGTCTTTATCTTGAATGAATACCCCTGACAACATGCTATGATTCAGGACAGGAAGAAAAGATTGGAGACCACACTAAATCAATTGTCACACTAAAAGAACTGAAATGTTCGAAGTATTGTAAACTTTCACTAGACTAAAAAAGAAACTGGATAAGGCACAAACATACACCACTGACTATAATATCTAATGCACAGTAAACCAGGATTATGCGATTCAAAAACATTTAACAACTGTGAAGGACAGCTATCTGGAAAGAGAAGAAAAAGAACTTATCCTGCTAGGACTCTAAACTGCAGGGATCCTACTGAGGGTATCTACTCTAAATCTCTGTCATAGACTAACAGAACTTTAAGTTAAAAAAGAATAAAAATAAAATCAAAACCTCCCTAAATTCTTGCATATCTCTAGAAATTTCAGAACGTATCCACTGATACTTTCTAATACTTTGAATGTCCATTTTAGCAAGCATTTAAGATTTTTATGCACCCGGAATTCTAAAAGAAATCGCAGCAGCAGAATAATTCACGTTCATTCATAAATGAATGGTACAAATCAGAAAAGTGAAATATTTAAGGGAAAAGAGAGGCAGGAATAGTAGTACATAAATCTACACACTGGAAATGATCCAAGTTGAGAAGTTCTCCAGATGTCAGTCTGTAAACAGTGCTTCATAAAATGAATTTCCCCATTAATTGTTGGCAGGAATAACATCTAGAATATGTTATTACATTTGACCCACGCTTTCCCCCTCTTCTGTGTAGCTAAATTCTTGTCTGACATCACAGATCTTTTATCAGTTGTGATAAATCCAAGAAAGCAAGCTTTGGTCAGCAAATCTATTCGATAGGGTACAACATGCATGAAATTACACTCAAGCTAATTGTGAACTCTGTTCACTAAAGGAAATGAGACTTCTCTTGTTTATTTTCACTACATCTGTTTTTGTAACACATTTGGTTCTTAAGTTGGAAAAAGACACCCACACCCAAAGGAAACATAAACATATAATACATATTGAACAAAAATTAAGTACTGACAGTTTTCCTACAGGTTCCTATCACCATGTTTTTACACGTTTTAACATGGCTCCAAAAGCTGAAAAACAGGAAAACAAAAGTCGTATACATCTGAAAAATGAAAAGGCACTTTGAAGGAAAGACTTTTTTGGGTTTCCCCTTTCTCTTCCACTCAATCACAATCTGAACTATGCATAAAGTTTCCATTTTCCTCTGAAATTAACATTTACAAGAATCTACAGAAAGAAGGAAGAAAAGCAGCTTCCTGAGCAGTCTTTGGCAGCAAGAAAGTAGGATAAATGTGAGCAGGAAGTCCTCTAAACAGCAGGTTTTGTCATCTGTGCATACCATCATACAATGGAGACCAATGTATACCATTCTACAATGTATATATTTGTCATCATTGTATACCATTATATAATGGACATAATCTAAACACCAAACAATTATTTCAGATATTCCAAAGCTATATGCAAACCCATGTTCTGTTGGTTAAGTGTATACAAAAAATGCCGTTGAAGTCATTAGAGAATATTCTCTCTAAAACGGAGTTAATCAATTACTTCTACTGATTCTGCCAGCTACATGTATTGAAGTCCTGTAAATCTCGTTTAGTACCTGCCTATTAGAAAGTACATTGCCTGTTGAAGTAAATGCTGCATGCAGGCTTTGTAGATAGATAGTGCTATTGCTTCTTTCTAGAAGGAAGACAAAATCTATAGAAGCAAACAACACATATTTGAGTGTATGGTGAGGTCCAGGGAACATTTATTCACGTACTGGGTCTGCGTTAGAGTGTCATTTGAACAGACACATTCCAGGAACACAAATATATTTCCACTGTAGAGTATAAGGAGAAAGAAGA